CAGGCAGTGTAGTTTAAAGGGAGGGCTACAGCTTAGATGCGTCCTGCTTTCTTCCTTCATTTCTGTGAGATGGACAGAAGCCCAGTGAACAAAGTTTTAATCCAACAGCTGTTAAAAGGAAAAAAAAAAAATACTCTCCTTGGCTTTGAAACAAATTTGAAAACTAGCATGAGTAATCATGAGATGGTGAAGGAAATGTTTCTGGGTGCTTTCTTTGAGATTGCGATAAAGCCATCGGAACATTCAACCCAGGGTGAATTTTCTTTGTGGCACAGATCATCCTCGGCATTGTTTAAAAGTTGTGTGTCTTAAACCAAGGAGCCCTTTGATCTTTCGCCACCTCTCAGACAAAGGCTCAAGAGAATTTTCTCTTCATCTGTCCAGCTGTTCTTCTTACCCCTTCCACATTCCCTGTGGACAGTGCCTGTGTCCCAGTTCTGGGCATGTTGTTCCTTTTGATGGGGAAATTATCAATCCGTTTCTAGAGACAGCTATGCGGGAAACAAGGAGCAGCCCTTCAGGTCAGGGGCCATGTTCCGAATCAGCAAACAGACACGAAAAGAACTCTTTATCTTCACTATCTCCTGAGCCTTATCGTTGGCCAGTAGGAGCCAGACAAGTTTTAAAAAGCTCGAGTTATCTTCAGGGATGTAGGCTGCCCCTCATTCTGATTCTTGATCTTCCACCTTCAACCCAGACCCCCAGATTCTTCTGTAAAGGTACATGGTGTCAGTCTGAACTTTCTAACAGGGATTGTGGGGGGTAGACGGGCCTTCCCATGCTCCCTGTGTGGTTAGTAATAGTGTTTCTTGGACTTCAAGTCCTCAATGAAATGTCTCCTCTATTGCACTTTCCCTCATTCCAAGCTGCAGGTTAAGTCTCTCCCATCCTCTGACTGACCGTGCCAGACACCTCCACTCCCTCCTGCTGTCTTGTAGAACCTTGTGCCTTTCGACTCTTGCTACGATTTATGCCGAGTCTTTCAAGTTCCTCTGGCAACTTTCTGAGTCCTGCGGTCAGCCCTCCCAGTCATTGTCGTCCACGGAGGACGCACTGAGCACAGAGGTGGGACAAAGCAAGTACACCGTGCTCTGGGGGGGTTGGTTAAACAGTGCTGACCTCTGCAGACTGGGGCTGCGTCTGCTTTTCCTCTTGGGCTCCTCTCCACGTCTCTGTCTACATCTTCACAGCTGACTCCTAGTCCTTGCAAGACTACCCCAGTTGCCAGCTGTATTCCTTTGTCCTCTGCCTCGCATGCGTCCCTGTCCATTGCTTGGGCTCAAGTGAAACAAACAAATCAACAAACAAACTATCAAAACCCTCCGCATCTCTGCAGATGGCTTCGCTGCCTGGAGCAACAGCTCCATGTTGAGTGGAGAATAGAGACAAAAAGTTGTACCTCCTATGTGGGGTTTCTCTCCTGTGACAGTCCTGCCTCGGGTAAAGCCAGGCTGCCCCTTTCTACCCTCATAACAGCATATCTCTCATCTTCCAGTCACTACAATTATGATGGAAAGCTCTGGTAGGTACAATTTGCGTTGCTGCACGTTGGGGGGGGGGGAGGGACACGTCTCCAGTACCTCCTATCGCAACTAGGAAGGCCTGGGTTGCATCCTGGTTGCCATGGCTGGAGTGGTGACCCTTAAAATCCCATGAAGTCGAACTCCTTTTAATATGCAGATGGGGGTGTGAGGCTTTTCAGCTTAGAGAAAATTTGGAGATTGGGGCTGAGGCAGGAACAGTGTGGTGTTGGGAGTGGTGGGAAGCTGAGTGGGTGGGGGCGGGGGGTTGGTCTTCTGTTTTTTGAAAACGCACCCTCCCAGTTTCACAAAGACGGAGAGAAGACTGGGTGTCTCCAGCTGAAAAATTCTTGCCAAAGAACACAGAGGTCTGGCCCTCAGGGAGTCCTGGTGCTAGGTAGAGGGACGCTCCCAGCAATGCCTGGGTATGGGGGGTGGCTACGCTCCTTTGCACTGTTCCCCCAGGCACATTTTCTGCTTTGTGTTAGTCATTGTGGAACAGGTTGTGCTTGGGGTAATGGTGTAAGTCTCTCTCCCCACAGGAAGTAAAACATAGGCTGGGAAAGCCATCCTGTGGACTGACCTATCCCTGTTGCCCTGTTAAGATTCTCTGAGCCCCTTCACCCCCCAACCCCTGCAGGCTCTGCCTTCCACTCCCATATCCACCCCATCTACCTCTTCTCTTTAGTACTTTGGACAGGAAAGAAAGGAGCAAGGATTCCCGGAGCTGTCAGCTGGGTTGGTGAGGGAGACGTTGAACGGGTATACAGGTGTCTTTGCAGGGAGCTGCATCAGCAGCCAGGCAGCCAGGACTTGAACTGATGCTCCGGCAGGGTGCGTGCAGAAGTTTAATACGCTGCACCGCAACGCTCACTCCTGGCAGTCCCAGTGTTGCCAGGGAAGTGCGTCAGTGAACCCTAGCAAGTGCTACAGGCACAAAGTCTCAGAGGTCCTCTAGGGACCGCTGGATCTGAGCCTCCTGGGTAGACAGATGACGGGGACCTTTGAGGTCCCTGAACCTAGAAGAAGCTGAGTGACCCCAGAAGAAAAGTCACTTTTCTCAGAGTGTCAGAGTTGGTAGTATCCACCCGGTCAGAACTGAGGTCTCTGGACTCCCAGCCCGGAGTCTGCACATCCAGCTCCGTTGGCTGTGTGGCGCACGGCAAATTTCCTCATGTGGTGGTCAGCTGTACTAGTCAAACCCATGATCTCAATCGTACGCATTTACGAAATCCATGTCCCCCAGCGCTCTCCTTCCTAGCAAATGCTTTCTTTTATCACATGTGTCTGTATCAACATTCTGCTTATAAGCCTGCAATTTTCCATTTCCCTTGTAATAGGATTCCCCCCCCCAAAAAAAAACATTTTAAAAATCATTTCCTTGAATGAAAAATGGTGAGCATATTTTTTTAAAAAAATGGGAATTGAGATGGCCAAGCACGGACAGTATTCTCTGAGATTTCCCAATGAAAGTGATAATACGTGTGGACATCGGTCTTAGGGACTCTGGTATGAATCAAAACGGAATCTTTTGAGGAGCGGGACTATCTTGTAAATGAACTTGAGCATTTGGATCCAGATGCATGTGTGTTACCGCCATCCCCATTGACGCTGCCTTCAGGGAAAACCTGAACAGGAAGTAAGCAATTTCCTTTTACTCACTACAAAAATAAAGGGGGTGTGTCTGCTGATGTCCATGGAAGACCGTTACAATTTATAGTACCCTTAGGTTGACGTCAACTTCCTGAATTTAAAAAATGCTTACTGAGCATGTTGGATGAGAGGGGTTGGAAAGCTCTCCTCCACATACCGCGCATCCCCCCAGCCAAAAAAAAGTTACTTTTCACCTGCTTTGTTAATCACAACAAATAATAACAGTTGGCTCTCTAGTGAATTCAAGGTTCTAATTCTGCCTGGTTGCCCTCCTGTTGTTTCAGAAACAACGTGTTCTTGGGCCCCATGCTTATCATCACCCCAGAGTAGCCTTTCTCGGAGGCCTCCGTTGGAGGCTGCATTTATCAGAAGGTCCTGAGGACTGTTTACTCACAGGACTCCAACACTGGTTACTCACTAGCTCTTCTTGGTAAAAATCAAGCCAGGCCCCACGAAGAACTGTGAGCCCTTAGAGTTTCGTCGGCAGTGGCGTTGATCAGGTTTTGAGCTCTTGCTGTGTGTTTCTTGGGGAGGATGCTGAGGGATTTGTTGAGCGGCAGAAGTAGCCGTTAGTGGTACAGCCTTAGCAGACTTCCTTCTGTCGCTGCTGTTCCCCTTCGTAAGGGAAAGAGCCGCTTTGGGGTGCACGAGTAGGCCATTGATTCCGTCTACCCTGCAGAAGCAGTAAGTACGTACGTCACACGGGGGCGTCTCGCTCCCTGGCTGCAGAACAATCAGTCACGTGTGCTATTCGGCCATCTTGTTGGGCTCCTTGGACTCCGTGGTTTGGGCCGGCGTCCAGTTGTGCCCGCTTCAGGAGGCCGTTCCCAGGTGGGAGTGATGAAGGAGCCGGGAGGGGGCGGCTGATGGGACGGAGTTGAGGGGCCAGCGTTTGTACACCTCGTGTCTTGCTTCTGACCCGTTGATCCCAGGCAGTTTCCTTCCCCCCGAGGGTTCCTGGACCAGCATGAGGCCGACACAGGTTCCCAACCTGAACTCTTCAGAAAACCATCACTGTTTTGCTTAGTTAGCTGCAGGGCCAATCCTGCCTCACATGGTTAGCTTGAATGTTTGTGGGACGGTAAGACTCCCTAAGAATGTCTGTTTACTGGCCTGCGGTCCAGCTGCGTCTTACACACACACACACACACACACACACACCCCATTTGTGTTCAGTTCTGTGGAGGGCAAGTGTTCAGTGACTCAGCTGGGGACTGCATGGGTATTTCAGCCTGTGTTTGATCGTCCTCAGCCCCTGCTTCTTCCACATTTCTCTTCCATTCTCAATGTATGAAGTCACATTTTCCACTCTTGACCACCTAGATCCGCCCCCATGAAGTTTTTGAGTGCCCCCTTCGCTTCTGAAAGTGAAATCCTAGATGGATATTTTTGGAAAGATTTTTTTTTTTGCTGTGTTCATGCTTTTGAGGGTTGATGACTTATAAGGGGTCCAAAGCATTGAGTAGCACAGAATGCCTGTTGACTCCAGTAATAAATTTCAGACTTGTTTAGAGTTCTGCTTCTGTGTTAAATTTGAGTTTCTCCAGTGAGACTTTTTTTTTTGTATCTGAGATGATTTATGGCTTTCTTGGGGGGAATCATTTAGTGTGTGTGTGTGTGTGTGTGTGTGTGTGTGTGTATTTAAACAAGTGAACTTCATAAAGGCGAACAAATATACTTCACAGTCAGTCGAACATCTGGACGAGACAGGCGGCTGTTTGAAGTGTGTGACAAAAACGGCACCATCCAATACTAACAACGGTCTTAATGCTGATCCTAACATCATGTTTAAAACATTCCTTTTCTTTTGTCTGCTTTCCAACTTAGCATCACTCTGCCTGGCTGGCGGGGACTGGAGGAATAGATGTCCACGCCCACAGACCCTGGCGCCATGCCCCATCCGGGGCCCTCACCGGGGCCTGGACCCTCCCCCGGACCAATTCTCGGACCAAGTCCAGGACCAGGACCATCCCCGGGTTCCGTCCACAGCATGATGGGGCCAAGTCCCGGCCCTCCGAGTGTCTCACATCCGATGCCAGCCTTGGGGTCTACAGACTTCCCACAAGAAGGCATGCATCAGATGCATAAGGTAAGGCTTGAGTCTCCTGTTGGGTTCTGGCCTTTGAGTCCTGGATGGTTCATGTTCCTGGTAATTCCTTTCCCTGAGTTGACGTACGTCTTTGCCTGATATTGTATATTATTAAAAAGGGATGTTTTTAGATACTGGTACTGCTGCAGCTGTTAAGTCATGGAGATCACATGTTGGCTTGTGAAAATACTTAAGAGTATGTAGCTCCAAGGTGGAGATTTTGTAATTTGTGGGTTGAAGGTATTTTGGCCTGCTACGTGAGTATGTCGTCATATATGGACTATGTTCGTTTCCAATCATTGTTCAGCAACTCACATTAGCTGTGAATGGAAATATTAGACAGTGTCTGTCCTCCAACTTTTGGTGTTCATCGGAACAGGTTAGACCCCAAAAAGTAAGAGTCCTGTCGTAGCGTCTTTTTTAAAAAAAGGCAGTATGGAAATTGGACCATCTGCTAGCAACTGTTCACATGGACATGGCTGTCTCTTGGTGAAGAAGTTGGTCCTGACTCGGGGAAAGGCTGATATCCACAGCCACAGGTCCATCCATCCCTGTGTTCCTAGACTAAGGTTGTTTTTAAGGATCTTGTTGGTTGACATGGCCAAGCCTGTTGCTCGGGGGGAAGATCTGCTTGGTCCAGTTTGGCGTTATGCCTTTGGGAGAGGAGTGAAATAGAAACAGTAGCGTCTCCCACAACCCTTTGCATGGAAGCAGGGAGCAGCTAAAGGCAATCTATGAATATGCGTTACCCCAAAAGTTTGCCTGGTAAGACAGCAAAAGTGTCACATCCCATTTCGAGGGCCGGTGGGTGGCCCAGCTAAAGCAGGCAGGCAGACAGAGCATCGTTTTCCTGCTTCTGCCTCTTTATTCTGGCCTCCATGACCAGGAGGAAGTCTACCTGCATCAGGAGGACCATCCTCTGTTTACTGTCTGTGCATACTCCTCATCCGCTCATGCAGAGACACCTGTACACACACGCACATTGAGAAGACAGTGTCTACACCCCAGGTACCCCAATGTATGTGGTAGACAAGCTGTGGATGTTGTGAGTTGGGCACATAAATGTGACCACAGAAAGGAACAAGCCTTCCCTCTTCTCCCCTACAGCTTGGGGTCAGTTTTAAGGCTAAGGGCATCAGAGCTCAGAAAGGGTGAAGCACTGTGGAGCAGTGGGTTAAGCTCCTGCACTGGGATTGAGCCCCACTTCCGCTTCCCATTCAGCTTGATGCAGATGCACTTCTAAGACAACAGATGATGACTTGAGCACTTGAGTCCCTCTGACCTTGTCGGAGATCTCCACGCACTTCTGGGTCAATCGCATCATCCTGATTCCACTCAGGCTGTTGGGAGACTAAGCCAGTGGATGGAAGATCTCTGTCATCTCTCTCTTTCTCCCTTCTTGTCATTCTTTTGAATGAATGAATGAATGAATGAATCTGTCCGTCTCTCATTAGGAACTTTCAAAATAATACATACATACATAAGGGAGTAAGTAAATAAGTAAAGCCATTTTTATAAATGGACCAAGAAGGGGGCAGGTGCAATGGGTTAAGTGGCTAGACATCCACCTTGTAATCACCAGCATCCTGTCTGGGCACTGGTTCAGTCCCAGCTGCTACGCTTGCCATCCCAGCTCTCTATTGACAACCTGGGAAAACAGTGCAGGATGGTCCAAAGCTTTGGGACCCTGTAAGCGTGTGGGAGACCTGGAAGAAGCTCCTGGCCTCAGTTGGCTCACCTCTGGTTGTGGCTACCATCTGGGGAGCGAATCAGCAGATGGAAGATCTCTTTTGTCTCTCCTGTGAAAATCTGCATTTGCAAATTAAAAAAAGAACCGGCCAAGGACTTAGACATTTCTCCAAATCATAGAAATGAATGAACATTAAACATAGAAGTTGTTCACTAGCCATCAAGGAAGCATACATTGTAAGAACCACAGTAAGGTGCCACCTTGTACCCATTAGGGAATGAAAAGAGCAAGGCATTGAAGGCGATGGGGCAGAAATCTTACACTTTATGCACTGTTGGTAGAAAAGTAAAGTCTTGTGACCACAGTGCAAAACAGCTGAGTTGGTTTCCCAAAAGAGGGGATGAGGCAAGGGGTGGGGAGGAGGAGAGGGAAGGGCAGATGTTCAAATCAGGAGGTCAAGCTGTTCTTGTTATCAAAGTAAGAAAAGCACAGAGGAAAAAGAAAGAACGTGGATGATCCCAGCTTCCCTCACACAGTCAGAGCTTGTTGTATAGAAATGCATTTCCCAGCTGACTTTTCTCACGTTCAGCACAAGCACGATGTTTGCACGGGTGTGTGTGTGTCAAGCTGGCTTGTTTTATTTTGCGTTCATCCTGTTGTCTGTGTTGAGGAGTGCAAAGCTGGTTGTTCTCCATCTTTGGTGGAGTTCTCTGGAGCGTACGTCCCAATCCGCTTCCTCCTGTTGAAATAAAAATAGGCTTTGAGCCTGTCCAGTGGGGAGAGAAACGAATCGGCTTGTTTTCCCCCTCTTGTTTCGGGGGAAGCTGTCTAGAGACTGACATCTTACTCCCTGTGGAGGTTAAATCTGTTTGGGAGCTGTGTTCAGGACCTCACTGCAAATGGGAGTTATTCCTAGATGGTCTTTCTGGATCTTCCATCTCTCCTAAACATCCCCTCTGAGTTCTTGCAGACGGCTGGATTCTCACTTTCTCATCATCTCCTCCCAGCCTGTTGCTTCATTTGGCCAGTACAAGTTTTGAGTTGAGCAATTTCTGGGCCTCTTGCTTTTTCCTCCCGTCCAGCCCCTCCCTGCATGAAGACCTGTCCACACCTGCTGACCAGATGTGTCCACTCTCTCCAGTGTTTTCTCCTGGCAGCTGGCTTCCTCGTCCAGCTCCCCTTTCTCTTTCTGAGCTCCCACTGTTTGCTTTTCAACGTGACTGGAAATAAATAAACAAGTGGCCTGAACGCATCTGTCGCATAGCTTTGATTTCCTCCCTACTATTACTGTTCAACAGACTCAGTGACTTTTTTTTTTTAAATGCCAGATTCTTACCATTTTTCTTCTGAACATCCTCTTTATGGTAAATTTTCCCTCTTTTCAAGCACAGGCTTTTGACTCTGCAGAAATTAACTTTCTTTTCTCCAGAAACTGCCAACACTCAGACTTTCTTGCTTGAAGTCATTTGGTTTCTATAAACTCCTGGAAATGTTCCTCTCCGACTGCTTTGAAAATCGCTATTACAGTTTTGGGGGGAGGACTAGGTTTTTCCTTTCTCAAACACATGCTCCATCGCCCAACTCTGGATTGGATTAACGGCAATCCAATAGCTATTGATTGCACGCCTGTCATATGCTGGCTCTAGTGTTCACTATTTATTTTCAGACCATGTCTCAAACTTTTTACCGTCCTTCTCTCTCTGGAGCAGGCTTCAGCCGTCTCATACCTCTCTTCCCTTCCAGTGCTCACCCCTGTTCTCGGCCCTGCCTGATCCATTCCACTCTTGCCAACTGCCATGGAACCTTGTGGTTTCAACTTTATAAACTTTCCCTGGTTCCTTCCTCTCCAGTGATGCGTGTGTGTTTATATGTACGCGTACACACACACACACGCAATCATCTTTGAAAAGCTATTTCGAATGGTCTTCCTTCAGACTTCAAACTAACCTCGCGTTTATAGTAGGTTTTAAGACAACACTATAGGGGTATGGAAGAATAACCCGTGTTTGTCCACATCGTTCAACTTTCTGCGTGTTGCTGAGTTTAGATACAACTCCTTTCCCCACGCAACCGTTTCAAATCTTAACTTCTGACTGCAGATGGTGGCATTGCCCCTATTGGTTCTCACCTATGGAGTCTGAAATTGGTAGGCTGGGTAAGAAATGATTGTGCCGCCCACCCGTTGAGGACTTTGGGGGTGGGATGTTTAATCGCCCAAGAGAAATGCTGTTGGCCAAGCAGATTTCTAATGGATTTCCTTTGTGTATCTCAGCCCATCGACAGTATTCACGACAAAGGGATTGTGGACGACATGCACTGTGGATCCATGAAGGGCACAAGTATGCGAACTCCCCATCCGGGCATGGGCCCTCCCCAGAGCCCCATGGATCAGCACAGTCAAGGTTTGTGTTTGCTCCCTGCCTACCTGACATTATCTCCGTGTGCCGTAATATATCCGTCTCTGCTGTTGGATATTTTAGTTATGACTTCCAAAGAGTATGTGGTTAAGTGCGTGTGTGTGGTGTCAGCAAGGCCAAATCCAGCATGCTTCTCTTCCCTTTAGAAGTCTACTCGCCCTCCTCAGCTCCACCCCTATTCTCACGAACACAGCTTCACGATGGAAAGCTACAGCTTCGTTTCCAACATCCTCGGCAATTTTAGCTAGCCTCTGTGGGTCCCCCCCAAAATTCTACAGAGTATTTCAGTCATTCGATCCAGAGTCTTCCCGGTGGTCCTATCAGGCAAATGGTGTTCACCCCACTTTTACAGTTAGGAAAAGCTAAACGCAAAGGATTAGTTGTTTATTTGAATTGCCTAGAGTGTGGCAAGGCCAGAGAGAGAGAATCCAGGCCTGCCTTCCTAGACCAGGAAGGGTATGGGAGATCAAATGAGCCGTCAGATGCCTTGGGTTTTATCCTAGAGCATGCACCATAATGTACCAACATCACATCTGAAGGCCGGCGGGTCTGTGGTCGGCTGCTAGGGCTGTAACACCCATTACCGCAAACTGTGTGGTCTCAGATAGCACCAGTGTGTTCTCTCACCATTCTAGAGCTGGAAAGTCTGCCATCAAGGTGTCTGCAGGGCCCTGCTCTCTCTAAGGGCTTTGGGAAAGGATCTTCACTTTCTTCTTTCTAACTTTTAGTGGTTTCCAGGATTCCTTGGTATTTACAAGCTTGCTGGTACACAGCGCATCTGTCTTTGTGGTTTTTCCTGTGTCAACATCTGTCTGTGTGTTTAGGTTCTGGTTTTGTAAGGAGACAACCCTTCATTGCGTTGGAGCCTACCCTCATTGGAACATTGCAGATTTTATCTGCAAAGATACCATTTCCGACTAAAGGGATGTTCATGGCTGCTGGGAGTAAGGGCTTCAACAATGAATTCCTCCAATGCTTTTGGAGGGAGTGACGAGTGGACAGAGCGGTGTTCAGTCCACAACAGCAGTCGAATGAACCTACAGTGTGTTTTGTTTTCTGTTTTTGTGTTTGCAAGCTCTGCTTTCCCTCACTGCTGGAGACATATCAAGAGAACCTCAAAGCTGCTTGAATACACCACAGTCTGGTTTCAGAACCCTTTGGTCATTCTAGCATAGGAGGTAGATGGGTTAATGTGATACAAGCTAGCATCAGTGTGACCACTTTTGGTGCAAGGCTGCTGGCTTCTGTGTTGCTTTGTGTAGACTCCTAGGTCATTAGATGGACGTGAATTTTCCCTCATTTAAAGTAAGCAGTCATCTGTCCATTTGAGGGAAGACTTTTGGCTAAGGATACCTTGCAGAAACATATCCACCAGTCATATCATTTTTTAAGATTTATTTTCTCAAGGCTATAAGGCAATCTTCATGTAAAATACAAACTAGATAGATATGTAAGTAAATATGAACATGATTCGGTGCCCATATGGGATACCAGTGCTTGCAAAGTGGAGGGTTAGCCAGTTGAGCCACTGCACAGACCCCAGTCATGTTCTTTTTGAAGTGTTAAGAGTCAAGCCATGGAGGCCTGCGGGTGACTTTCTGCTCTTACGTGAGCAGGTTTAGGGACACCCTGACTGTGTACTGTATGTGGTGGCAGGCAGGAGGGCATTCCTGTTACAGACAGATCGCAGGATTAACATTTAAGTTCTCAAGGGGCCAGTGAATTCATAAGGGCTGATGTGGGTTTGATTGCTAATGCTGAGTGGGATGCAGGTAAGTTGTAGTGGGGGGATTTTAAAGCTAGATGCTTGCTCTTTCTGCTTCTGGAAGTGAATTTCTCCTATTCCTGGGGTCCTAAGAAAGCCCCCCCCAAACACATATTAAATGCACAAAAGCATCAAGGGGATTTTTTTTTTACTTTTCATTTCTCTTGAAATTCTTCTGATTGTTTGGCATCCACCTTCCACTTAGGAGCGAGGCCTTGCTTGTCATGGAATTTCCAGCACTTGGCATGATAGATTCCTAGTAGATTTTTTCTCAGTCAGGTATAGAAGGGAAGCTATGCATGCCAAACATCTGCAATTGTAAGTACATCTCAATTTTAGGTAATTTCAGCAAATTATTACTTTCGAAATACAAAGATTGGCATTCTGTGGAATCAGAATTAGCATGTCACGTCGCGCTCTAAAATAGTGACAGAGACCGTAGGCTGGGGGGGGGGATGAGTCATTTAAGAGTAAAATAAATAAATAAATAAAGCTGTATTGGGCGTAATGCAGTTCCATCCCATAGAATGGTCTGGGAGGGAAGCAGGGATCTTTAAAAGCTTCTTTGTAGGAAGCCATTGATAAACACACAGGTTCCGAGAGGTGTGGGATTGATTGGAAACCCGCCAGCTCTCACTACCCAGCAACCCTATTAGGTTGCTTTAGGGGATGGGCTGAGAAGTAAAAACCATTGCCTGGGATCCAGACCGAGTTGCGCACCTTGCGGTCCCAATGATAAAGCTGTTTATTTTTAGGTCCATTGAATAGAAGATGAACTTTCGTAGGCAGGTAGATAATATTTCAAGAGAAGGAGGGGGGAAAATCTATATAAAATTTTCACCTACAAGTTCAAGATTATGAATAGGCAAGACATTATTGCTTCTCTCTGAGGCCAGCTGAAGCAGGGGAGATAATGGCCCTCGAAGCCCAGGCAGGGAAAGCTGCCACTTTGGGATGACTTCAGCCATGAGCAGAATCAAACACCACAGAATCCACATCAGCCCTGTGTCCTACCCACGAGTGTGCGTTTCTTCCCTCTCTTTCCCCAACTAAACAGAGTGACCGAAGTGTGCCGTGTTGTCACATCATTTCGATGCTGGTTTTTTTTTTCCCCCTCCCAGTGTTATGGAAGGTTGCTACTCAGGCAGGGAAAGAATCCTGTGACTCTCCAGCTGAGACACTGTCACATTTTCATGTCATCCTGTGACAGGATGATTCTATTAACATCCCCTTGAATCCTTCCCACCCCCAGTTGCTTCTTATCAAATCCGAGGTAAAATTTAGCTATATTGATTAATTCTGAAAAAATGACTTTTATTCCCCCTTTTCAGTTTTTTTCTTACTAGGTTGAAGGAAAATGTATTTGGATTCTTTTTTTTTTTCCTGGTGATTAGGGTCTCAATTTTCAAGAGTTGGAAAAATGTTTTAAGAAAAATATTTTGTTTGAAAGGGAGAGTGAGAGCAAGAGAACAAGAGTGAGAGAGAGAGAGATGCATGTTGTCCGTCTGCTGGTTTACTTCCTGTGTCGCTGCAGCAGTCTAGAGCTGGCTTGGGTGAAGTCTAGGAGCCATGAACTCCATCCTGACCCATGAGTGACCTAGGCACTTCTGCTGCTCTCTCTGGTGCATTAAACAAGAAGCTGGATAGAAAGCAGAGCAGCTGGGATTGGAACCGACTCCCGTATGCACGTAGCCGGCTCTGCCACCATGCAGGTCTCTCTCTTATCACCTCCCCGCCTTGGTATTGATGACCTATTCATAGCTAAAGACTGATCTGACAAGTAGACCATCAGTTGAGTTTAGATTAAGTCTCCTAACAGTTGGATACCTTACCATCCATATGGGTGAGCCGGTTGTTGGTAACCATGGGACATCTGAGTGTCAGAAGCCAGGAGACACAGGTGTCATGTCAATCAGTAGTGACATCCATTCTACGAAAATGTGTACAAAGTGCTGGGGTGGGAATTCTCTCCCCTGGTGGCAGGTGCGGGGCTGGCCAGAAAGATGTACCAGCCTCCCAGTTAAGCGAAGACAGAACACTAATGACAAAGTATGTGTCACTGGGACTCCCTACATGTTTATTGTTAGAAATAACAAGTTGTTGAAGTTTCTGCTGGGCTTGCTTCAATGCACGATTTCTGGGCTCTCTCGGGCAGCAGGGAGACCCAGCAATTGGATGGGATCTCTGAGTGGAACCCTCCTGCGCCTCAGCGGATGGAGCAAAATTCAGTCTCTGTCTTAGGGGATCATGCGGAGTTTGCATCCCTCTCCCAATGGCTCCTGCAGAGATGGATGTGACTGCGACCTTGATTTGCTCTGGGCTGTGTGTGACAGGTGACAGAGCATCACTCCCCTACCCCCAGCCCCCCACTTCCAACGGGTTAGTGTTTCTCGCATATTCTTAGGCCTCTTATTCTGCGCGGATGAGCTGAGCTCTTTTCCATTCAAACTGTATGCTTGTCCAGACATCTAGGATATACCTCACAGACCCCTCCCTTGACCATGACCACATCACTGTCCCCTTTCCTGTTCTTAGAACGCCCCCCCAGTCGTCGGTGTGTCTAGGGGGTCTACCGGCCAGGCCTTAACGGTTCTTCTCTGGTTCTTCCTTTCTTGAATTTCCCAGTGAGACCACAGAAAAATCCAGACTTAGGTTTAATCAGATTATGTGTGCGTGGTTCTAGGAGATTTTTTTTGTTTGTTTTTTGGGGACAGTAAGTCCATCACTTTTTTTCTTTTTGCAACCAGACTTGCATTAGATCACAGAATAGCCATGCTTGCTGGAGTCAGGTGGACCTTATACCCAGCTTGGGGTATAATACTCCCTCTCTGAGCCTGTTTTCTCATTTTACAAAAATCTCCAAGGGTTGTTGTGAGTGTCAAAGAATCACGGCATACTCTGTTCTATCCATTCCTCCTGGATGCACTCTGCCATTTTGGTACCATCTCCAACCAGAACCAGTCTCTGCAATGGTTGTACCTGCACACAAAACAAGTGTCAGGAAACCACTGACTGCCATTCCCCCATCCCAGAACGGTGTTCCTTACCACTGATGGTTGCCCAGAAGAGTCTAACTAGCCCAGCTGCTTCCCCCCTTCCCTGGATGATTCGGATGTTGATTATTTATCTCATGCTCCTTTTCGAACACTTAGGGTGGCAGCCATTTTGACAACGTACCTGTTGCTGGCTGCCTTCCCCTCCTGGCATCAGCCGCCCATACCCTCTTGCTGTCCTTGCTGACTCCCACCTTCGATGTCCGTGTTCCCTCCTTAGAGTAAGCTCTGCCGCTGGTGGGAATTGAGATAGCATGTGTCATGCCAAGTGTTCTGTGCCTGCAGTATGCAGGGTCTTGGTCACTAATTGCAAGTTACTCACCTTGTAAGTACACAGTAAGCCACACACACACACACACACACACACACACACACACACACACACGACTCTCCTCATTGCCCACCCATTGAGGCACACTGATTGTATTCAGGTTTAGTTTTCTAGACCAGACATTTCCTTGAAGCATTGTACCCCGTCCCCTGGCACCTCCCCTTTAGGCACACAGCCACCACCGACTGCCTCCTACGATGCTGGCGACTGTTGAAAACTGGGCATCTGAGCAGTGTGAGTCAGGATGGACTGTGAAGGTTAAAAACGGCTGGCTCTCACAGATGAGCACAAGCAAAAGCATGTAAAATACCCTATCCATAGCTTTTCTTTCTTGGAATGAAAATATGTTTCAATACAATGTTTTCGATAAAATGCCCTGGAGTTAAAATTACATTTAATATAATGTATTCATTTTTTAAAAAAAGGTTTATTAATTTGAAAGGCAGTTTCGGGTGGGGTTAGAGACTCACTGTGGAAGTGGAGCAGCTGGGACTCCAGACTGTAATGTCGGATGCTGACGTTACAGATAGCAGCCGTGTAACTCGTGGCACTGCAACACTGGACCCCGTGTTAAATTTTTCACACTCTATACACAATTGCTAAGCTGCAGGTAGTGTCAGTCCCTATTGGCTTGTGTGGTTCTGGCAGGTTGCCAGGGTTTTCGGGAATGCCTGTCCTTCGGGGTCGTGGGGCCAGCCTGTGATGTTGTGTGTTTCCTTTCAGGTTACATGTCACCGCACCCATCTCCCATGGGAGCCCCAGAACATGTCTCCAGTCCCGTATCCGGAGGAGGCCCGACACCACCGCAGATGCCACCGGGCCAGCCAGGATCCCTCATTCAGGGTGAACCACAGGCCATGAGCCAGCCCAACAGAGGACCGTCGCCTTTCAGCCCCGTGCAGCTGCATCAGCTGCGAGCACAGATTCTAGCATACAAAATGCTGGCCCGGGGCCAGCCCCTCCCCGAAACCCTGCAGCTTGCAGTCCAGGGGAAACGGACATTGCCTGGCATGCAGCAACAGCAGCAGCAACAACAGCAGCAGCAACAGCAGCAGCAGCAACAGCAGCAGCAACAGCAGCAACCACAGCCAACACCAACGCAGCCACAGGCCCTGCTTCAGCCGGCGTCTCTACAGCAACCACACCCACCTCAGCAACAACAGCCGCCGCCATCGCAGTCACAGCAGCCGCAGCAGCCGCTCACATATCCCAACAGAATAGGTGGTAGGTTAATCTGATGTCAGAGTCTAGAGTGGGTAAGAAGGAGTGCTCACAGGCATGGTCACTTGGCTTAGGGCCAGTGCAGGGCTGACTTGGTTATGGTGGACCCTCCCTTTCCTTGCATCCCTACAGTGGCCCTTGGTTTCCCATGTTGGAGCCACTGAGCAGTGTTTGGTAACCTCTGAAGGAATAGTTCTTACCACCACCACAGTCCCCACTGCCACTGTGCAAGTTGAGGACCTGTGTGTGTTGGGGGGGGGTGGGAATAAAAGCATAGTTGCCCACAAAGTCCGTATTCCGTCTCAAGAGAATCACATTATCTCAGATGCCCTTCTGCATGGTCCAGGTTAAGAATCCTCATGCCCTGAATGTTCCATGGATAGAACTCTCCCCTCCACCCCCTGCAGCGGGCCCTGCCTGAGCCATCACATAGCTGGTGATGTTTCATTTGTGTCCCCCACCTCCTCCACCGCCTTTTTGTTGTTGTGCAAAGCATCCAGCGAAGCTCCAAAGGAGCTTACCCGGAGTCAGATCATTGTCAAAGAGGAAAGCACAAATGAGGGAAATAGGAAGAAAAGTGAGAAACGGAGATCAGGCAGGTGGAAGGCGCAGGAGTCTCCCACTGTGCGGCTGTGGGCCAGCTGTGAAGATGGCCTGGGTTTCTTGGTGGTTGGAGTCAGGTAAGAGGAAACCGGGATTTCGTTGTCACTAGGCAGAACCCCGTTGCTCCCCAGTCTCTCAAAAGGACATAGCAGTTTTCAGCCTTAGAGTGTAAAGTACCTTTCCTGGGTAGACTTTTCTTCAACCTGCTATCATTCTCCCAGTCTTGTTATGGTAAGAGATTGATGACAGAGGAACAGAATCCCTAGGAACCTGGGACTAAAACCTGCAGCTCTAACACTGCTCAGGGATTGAAGATGACATCATTTATCGACATGGTCTTTCTGGTGGCCCAGCCCTGCCACACAGAGAATATCCTCAAGCCAGAGGGGAGGCCAGGAAGGCTTCTGTTAAATCAGTAAAATTCTGCGAGTTTGAGATTCTGCACTTAGGAGAGTGAGCCTCGGACTCTAAGGAATGGGACCTTTCCTTGTCGTATTGACCATCTGCTGTGAACTGTTTCCATTCCACTGGGCAAGCCAGGACATGTTGGTCACTCCAGACAAGGCAACATGGGGTATTGAACTCTTGCTAGGTTGTGGGACTTAGACAAGTAGGACAGCAGTCAGCTTCATGTATGTACATATATGCATATATTTGCACTGCGTTTGTTTTCCTTTTAAAATGTTTTTTTTCTGGTAGTGGCAGCTGCAGGAACTGTGCTACCTGGAAGACAGACTCTCCTTATTACTTCTGGGTATGGTGAAGGAGTGTTGTAAGTCTGTTGGGGCTGCTATGAGCAGTAGCAATTGCTTTCTCACATTCCTAGGGACTAGGAGCTTAAGATCAAGCTGCTGGCAGACCCTGGCATCAGCTCAGACCCATCTCCTGGCTCACGAGTGGCAGCTGTTCATTGTGTTTTCACACGGGCACCCATTTGGGTGGGTGTCTGGTTCCCGGGGTTTATATCTGGCCACTCACAACTTGTATCACAGTGCTTTCCATTGGAGTCCCAGCTGCAGCTGGAATGACAGCTTCCTGCTTCTGGGTACACTGGGAGGTGGCAGGTGATGGCTAAAGTCCACACGGATCTCTGCCTCTTTGGTTCCTGGATTTGGCCTGATCTAGTCCCTGTAGGATCTAGTCCCTGTCGTAGGCATCTAGAGGAGTGAAGCCGCTGGTGGAAGATCTCTCTCTCTCTCTCTCTCTCTCTCTCTCTCTCTCTCTCTCTCTTTCTGTCTTGGTTTCTGCTTCTGCTTCTCTCTCTGCTTTTCAAACAGATATCATTGGAAAACGGGGAAAAGAACAATAATCCTATTCATGAGAGATTCAGCTGACACTTGGATGGGGAGAGAGGACCAACATCCAAATCACCCAAATTCTGGGCCTTGTCCTGTGAGCATTCATGTCTTAATGTACAACTTTTCTTGAGGTCGTCAACAAGTGGGAGCCAGGGGCTCCATGAGTGTCCCATTGAGGGAGACAGGTTTCCATTCTTCTGCCTCTTGGGAACGTTAGCAGGAAGTAGGACCAGAAGCAGAGTAGGCAGGATTTGACTCCAGAAGCTGTGATACAGGGTATAGGTTTAAACCACTGTGCCACAACGCCTTGCCCAAGCTCTGGTGTTATAAAGAAAAACCTGGCCTTCATAGAATGCTTCCTGAAGGCAGGAAATGAAATGAGAAAACTTTTTGTAATCCCAAGTTGTTCTAATGAGTTGAAGTCACAACATCTGTAGGACAAAGTTGCTGTTCTTTGCCAGACATACTGAGTGCCACGTGTCCTAAGACATTCAGTTTTGCGCCTGTTTTCTCGAACATCTCAGGGAAGGCTCCTTGTGTATTTAAACCTAGCTCCAACCATCATCGAATCTCTGTCATTAGAGACAGTTCGTTTTATTCCTTTCTGCCTTGGTTTCGTATTTCAAGCAGACATGAAGCAAAATTGGGGGACAGCTAAGGCTTGATGACAGAGCAGACAAAGATTATGGATAAAGAGAGAGAAGAGACCTCCTTCAGCTAGAACGGGCGCATTCCTGCCACCTGAGAGGCATCTGACACCCCGCAAGCAATGAGGAAACAAAGCATGATTTGACAAAGTCAAATAGGTTATACAACACTTTCACGAGTCAACACTGTGAGGTTTCCTATCTTCTCTTTAAAAAAAAATGATAATGGCTTGTAAACATCTCTGCTAATATTTCAGTGGAGGAAACAAGTCTCAGGGTTTCCCTCTCTCCAAAAGATGTGGTGTTTTTCATTTTCCTCATGTTTTCTATGATCATTCATGTGCAAAGAGAGTGGGGAGGGGGGCCGCAGGGCTCACTGTGATGCTGTGATTCACTGAACGTGACGTCATCCTGATGTCACGGCCCTTTGGCGTCTGACCTCATGGAGGAAATGCGTAGCCCTAGAGCGGTTCGGCTGCTGTGGCGACGGGGCAAGTCCTTGCCTGCGAAGGTCACCCCGCACATCTGACCTGTCATTTTTCTGTTCTTATTGACTCACCATTCCTTTTAGAGGTGAAAGCAAATTAATTTTTTTTTAAATGGGAACTCAGAAGATAATAGGTTATGGGGGTGGTGAAGGAGGTTCCTTATGATAGAAAGCAAAAAATTTTATGGTTCTATTTTTTTGTTTTTAGTGCTTTCCACCCTTTCCCACACTTTTTTTTTTAAATAGCTGAAGTGTTTTGATGTGCCCAATTTTAATCAAAAAAATATACTTGTTCACCTGAATGGCAGGACCACAGGGATGGAGGGAAAGAAGCATCTTCTACTGGCCGGTTTAGTCCCCACATGACTGAAACAGTCAGGGTAGCACAAGGCCCACCAAACCAAGAGTGTACAACTCCATCTGGGTCTCCCACAGGGTTGCAGGGGCCCAAGCACATAGGCTATCCTCTGTTGATTTCCCAGATGCATTAGCAGGTGGATTGGAAGTGCAGCAGCCAAGACTTGGAACTGATGCTAGCATCAGTCCACCACGCTGGCCCTATGCTTGATACGCACCATTGCATGCAATTCTCTCTTTTTTAAAGATTTATTTATTTTTTTTTATAGGAAAGACAGATTTACAGAGAGAAGGAAAGACAAGGAGAAAGATCTTCCATCTGCCGGTTCACTCCCTAAGTAGCTACAATGGCCAGAGCTGAGAAGATCTGAAGCCAGGAGTCCAGAGCCTCTTCCAGGTCTTCTACATGGGTACAGGGTCCCAAGGCTTTGGGTCATCCTTTGCTGCTTCCTCAGGCCACAAGCAGGGAGCTGGATAGGAAAGTGGAGTAGCCGGGATATGAACCAGTGCCCGTATGAGATCCCAGGGCACATGTGAGGTGAACACTTTAGCTATTAGGCTACAGCGTCAGTGCCCCTTGTAGAAGGCTCTTAATTTCAGATTTGATGCACAGAACTGCCTTGTGCAGTAACATCTTACATCCCATGAAACCAAGCAGGAGCTCTGAGTACGGGAAATCCAGTGCGTGTGTGAGTGGTATTGCGTGGAGTTTGTTAAGCGAGGTGTGAGTGGATGGGAAGAGGCCCATCAGATCTCCCCTCTCCACCCTCGGCAGTCTGCATTTCCCTGTGGGAGAGCCTAGGAGAGCACATACCTTTGGCTGTTAAGATGAGGGCAAGAGGGAAGGCAGATGACATTTGGTCGCTCCGACAGAGAAGCTCAAACTGTTTATGTTGGGGAGAAAGAGATAAGCTCAAGAATGTAATCCAGCTTGCAGTAGATCTCGGGGAAGGGTCAGGTGGAGCCAGCAACCCATGGGCGCTGTGTGTGTGTGTCTACGCCGCAGGGTATGACTTCTAAATTTACAGGATAAACCTGTCAGGCAGATGGGCTCTGGAAACCGCTGGAGAGACTGGACTGAAATCTGGTGGAGGTCATTCACTCTGGGTGTGCACAGAGTCGCATCAAGTGTGGGGGACAGTGGAGAGGAGGGTGACCTATGCGATCAGCCAACTGGTGGCCCTTAAGGTGGGAAGAGGAGTCTATTTCGAGGGACTCTGCCACTAGTCCGGCAGGAAACCCAGGGCAGTGGAGACTGCAGTAGAGGCCTGTTTACCAGCTTGTGTCCCCCTGTGAGACTTGTCTGTAAGGTTGGAAGATTAGGTGGGCTTTTGTATTTTATTTATTATATTTTCACTATCTTTGTCCTTCATGTTTGGAAGCATGAGCTCAACAGTTAGGCACATGGGCATGTTTTATTGCCTCGTTGCATCTTTACTGCTGCCCTGGGAGTTGGGTATCATTAGCACCTGCATCCTCAGATGAGAAGCGTGATGGCATAACCGAGACCCACGCACCAGGAGAGAACTTGATGGGAGAGAACCTTGGGGATTCTTCCAGAATCACATGGGGTGTTTGAAATGTACTCATAGAGTGCATCTTACTGATGGCGGGATGGGTCCATGACAGAGTTGAAGGTGCCAGTCTCTCTCTTCGTGTCAAGGGCTGTATGCCCCCGTGGGCTCGAATGTTTTTGCATTTAGCCCTTGGAGGAGGCCAAGCCACACATAGATCCAATCCAGTTGAGAGTTAAAACCCAAAAGGGATGACAGGGTGGGAACATGCTGGTTGCCTTTCTTGGAGAAACCATTTTAAGACAGAGAAGCAGAATGACATGGCATAGTAGGCTAAGCCTCCATCTGTGGCTCCTGTTTGAGTCCCAGCTACTCCACTTCGGATCCAGCTTCTTGCTTAAGGCAAATGAGGCTGGAACAAGTCCTTGGGACCCTGCACCCATGTGCAAGAGCCAAAGGAAACTTCTGGCTTTGGATTGGTTCAGCTTTTGGCCATCCATGGCCGTTTGCAAAGTGAACAGCAGATAGAAGATCTTTTTATGTCTCTCCTCTTTCCTTGACTCTGCCTTTCCAATGAAAGTAAATGAGGCCTTAAAAACAACAACAGTGACTTGAATGTGGCTCCAAGTCCTCCTAGGAGTCTGCATCCAGTTTTGACAGGCAGTCAGGGCAAAGAAGAGAGTGGCCAGGATTGAGAGGGAAGAAGTGTGGAGGTTTTGCACGGCTTGTTTTGAACCTGAAGGAGAGGACTGTACTTGGAGAGTGAATTTGAAGTCACAATGGCGATGTTACCTGCTCAGTAAGATGCAGGTCTTCTCTTGATGAGCGTCACGATGTACAGTTGCTCTTGGCATCCCGTGGTCATCGGCCATGATGCTCCTTCTGTCTTTAGATGTGGTTGATTCCTCTGGCTCCCGGGGAGGCGTGGCACGCTAGGAAATGCCAAGGCACTCCAATCAGCTATTGGCAACTCTTGTCTCCTCTCCTTTGATGGGCTCACACCTGAGACAGCCCTTGGTGAGAAGTGTGCCCTATATTAAAGGAAAAAAAAACATCTCCCATTCAGATGGAAAGAATGACACTTTTTGTTGCGTGGTGTCATCTATGGCACCTGAAAGAAGGAAAAAAGATTTTTTTTTTCCTTCCCTAGAGTTCTTCATCAGTTCTTAGAAGCAGGGCCACACATGTTCTCAAGGTCCATCTTTTGGAAGGTTTTGCCTTATTTCAGAGGGAGGGGAGGGAATGAGCGGTCATGTCACATACGTGTGCACACATGGTAACAACGCATGCAATGTGTGTTGCCCACTCAAGCGTCCTAAGCGGTTTTGTCCTGCTGCCTGGCGTCCATCCGGTCGCAAGCATTTTGTCGTGACACTGTCATTTGAGCTCCCTTCTAGGTGTTGGAGACTGAAGAAGTGTGTTCACTTTCTCATCGTGTCTGTCTGTTTTATGGTTCATTGTTACCTTGATGTTTAGAGTCCATTACTTTTGCTACCACCTGAAAACGATTTTCTTTTTTCCTTAGAAGAGAAACACAAAATGAAGCGGGGGGGGGGGGGGGTGTGGAAATGCCTATCGAACGTGTTAGCAACTGTGTCCTGAATTCCTTTTAGAATTCACTAGCTTATCTGTTAGCTCATCTGATAGTTTGATGATAGAAGGAAAATGCTCTCCCACATCTTACCAGGTGACAATTTGTATTGAGCAGAGAATTCCCCGCCCCCCTCGCCCAATGTGGAATGTTTCTATGAGATTTTCTGCTGTGTCATAAGCATGTGAATTTCAGGAGACTCCCAGATGAAGGTAGACTCTGGTGGTTTGCCTGAGAAGGCTGGCCGGCTGCTTGTTTGGTCTGTGAAGTGCCAGTTCTGACCACAGGGCTGTTCCAGATGGGGCCAAGGAGTCTTCCCCCAAAGGGGTTTGCAAGGAAATTTACCAAATGCTGTTTTAGGACTACCCTGGCACGACATCCCAACCCTCCTTCTTGTGAACCTGAGCGCACCTGTCGCTTTTTGCGAACGCATAGTCACAGCTTGGCCTGTCGCTTTGTCTGTCAATGTATTATGCAGGACTCATTCTCATTTCTCCATGCTTAGCAGGCAAAGTCCGTTTCCCTAAGAGTAGAGTCCAGAAACTTTTTTTTTTCTTTTCCTAGTCCCACCTCCCCCTTGCTTCCCTGCCCCTCTTTTTCCTTTCTTTTCTCCTTTGCCTTCTCTTCCTTGAGGTTGTCTGAGCCACGTGGTGATCCTGCCCTGCATTCTAGGGTTGGTGGGCAGGCAGGCAGGCAGGCAGGCAGGTGTGGCTCCACAGTGTGCTGTCCTGCCCCAGCTGCCCATGTCACTCTTGTCCTGCAGGCCCATCCCAGGACCTGAACAGTCTGGGCACCCCACAGAAGCTTCAGGCACTCAGCGGCCGGCCCTCTCCGGCACCTACAGCTGCAGCACAGCCTCCTGCGGCTGCCGTGCCCGGCCCATCGGTGCAGCCTCCAGCGCCGGGGCAGCCCTCACCTGTCCTGCAGCTGCAGCAGAAGCAGAGCCGCATCAGCCCCATCCAGAAGCCACAGGGCCTGGACCCCGTGGAGATCCTGCAGGAGCGCGAGTACAGGTACCGCACCCCAGGTCCACCACGGGGCCTGTTGAGTGAGCTGATGTCTCCTTGTGTTGGGACCATTCTTTCCCTGGGGGAAGAAGGGAAGTTGTAGTGTCCGCAGTGGGGCCTAGATGCTAGAGGCTTGGGTAGGCATTGAACACTGGGGAGCGAGCGACCTGCAGCGATTGCATATGGCTCCGAGAAAGAGGGCAGCCCACACTTGGATTAGAATGCCTTGTGCTTGTCTATGGTTTGAATCCTGCAAGGACTGACTGGTCAGCTGGTCAACTCTTCGAAAACACCCACGCATAGAAATAGGTATGCCACATCTCGGTAAGATTTTATTTGCAAAAGTAAGCAGTGGGCTGGGTTTGGCTTGCGTGTTGTCGTTAGCAGACGAATGGTTATTAGCAAGCAGAAAGGGAAATCCAGAAAGGAATGGAATCAAGATGCAACAAAGTAAAGTTTGTGGACACGACCTCTGATTGGGATCTTCTGTCCTCACCAACTGGGTTACCTTGGTCAGTGTTCATGTTTTCTGTGACTCAGTTTCCACATAGGTTAAAAACAGGATATTGGAATATTTCTCCTAGAGTCGGGAAAGCAAAATGACAGGGAAATTTCCAACAGATAGTAACCATCTTCAAACATGTCTTCCTTGAAAAGAAAATTAGAGTTCAGATAGTCGGGGAACGTTAGTAAACTGTGTTTGAACTCCTTCGTCAACGAGACGGTAATCTTGGGTGAAGAGTCCTGTTTGAGACTCATTGGTTGAAATATGAGACTTTGGGAGTTTCCCCTGAAGCAGATCACGAACTGTTACCAAGAGATACGGATTAGCTTTCTGACTGGCCAGCGCAACCGCTCCTGTTTGCCATTGTTCATCGTCAATTAGCAGTCTTTGTACTTCCACTTCCAGAATTTTGTGTGTTGTCCGGAAGGCTACATCCTTCCCATTGGTTGGTCTTTCAGTACTGATGGCAAATTTCTGTGTGTTGTAAAGAAATCAGCTACTGGCACATGGGGGAAGGGGGGCAGAAAACAAAAATCCTCATGCTGTTCTTTCTCCAAGCTACCATTGACTTAAAAAAAAAAAAAAAAGGAAGGATTCAAAAGATTTGGGAATGGGGTAGGGAGTCCTGGGGTAGTTAGTCTAACATGCAAGCCTTCTTTGGTTTTCTGTCCTGGAAAAGCTTCCAAGCTTCAAGTCCTTGTGTTAAGTCATGCAAGCTATTCTCCTAAAGCACCCTCTATACTTTGAGATTTTTCTAAAGGATGCCTGGGCATGCCCCCCATCGGCTTGGCTTCCTCAGGCTCTGTGTGGGCTGTGTGTTTGAATGATTTTGCGGACTCAGATGTTTTTCTGGGATCACTTTTGGCAGAGTTTTAGTTGTAGGTCTGCTGTCATGAGCTCACTGGGGCACCTTTTCCCGAGGTGTGAGTTTCCTGCCAAGTCTCCTGCATTGTGTAGTGTTCGGTTGTGCTCTTGGGACTAATCCAGGATGTAAACCTCTCGTTCTCCATCTACTCCTGTAGCCGTTTAAAGACAAGTCCTGCCTGTCGTTGTGTTTTAAATCGCATGCATTGCCAAAGGTAGGACAGTGACTATTTTGCATGGCGTTATTCTTTCATGACTAGCTCATGTGAATGAATGTGTGTGTGTGTGTGTGTGAGAGAGAGAGAGAGAGAGAGAGAGAGAGAGAGAGATGCTTTTAAAATGATTCAACTGGGGACTGGCATTGTGGCATCCCACCTGGGCACTCCGGTTCTAATCCAACTCCTGGCTCATACGCTTGGGGAGGCAGTGAAAGATGGCCCAAGTCCTTGGGCCCCTGTGTCCACTTGGGGGAGCTTGGAAGAAGCTCCTGATTTCCATGTTTATACCAGACCAGCCCTGGTTGCTGTGGCCATTTGGTCATGGAAGATCTTTGTCTGTGTATTTCTTCATTTCTCTGTGGGAGAGATGTGACTTTTAAATAAACAAGTAAATAAATAACATATATATATATATAATATGTGTATATTATTAATATATATTAATCAGATTGTCTGGAAAGCTGTAAGGCTGTGGCACCAGTTTCCTCACGGCCATCCGCAGAGAAAGTATATTGTTGTCCTGGCAGCGTGGTGGGGTCAACCTTGACCTCTCTTTTCTGTGGAGTTGTATAGCTCGTCCTGCAGGTATTCATGAAAGAGCCGGGAAAGCATTTCTCTCTCGGCCCTCTGTATTAGAATAGCTTTGCTAGTCTTCAACAGCAGTAACCAGAAAGATGAGTATGTTTTTTTATTGTTTCATTGGAGATTTGAGCAACGATCTAAAAAAAAAAAAAAAACAAGACAAAAACAAAAAAACACCCTGTTTTATGATTGGATAAGCTTAGTTTGAACAAACATGATCTGTCAGGAATTTGTTAACAGATGGTCATCTTTTTGGCCATTGTAGCATCACTTACCTTGTCTTTGAAAATTAAGAAGAACTTGCCAGAATCTTGTGTTCTTTTTTAAATGTCCGAGTCAGTCAGCTATTTTTCCTTGTTCATCATATAATCAAAATTTTGACACACTGATTATTTTTTATTCATCTGCAACATAAGTAAGCTTCTGACTGTGCATACTTTGCCTCAAATCCATCTTGGTTAAAACACCTTCTCTCAGTTAAACTGGATCTTTACTTCTTTCTGTAGTGTCGAAAGTAGGAGGGTGCTTAAAAAAAAAAAAAGCAACTCTACAGAAAATGGGAGGAAAAGATCATTTCCTAAGCATTATAGAGAGATTTTGCATCTGCTGGTTCACTGCCATGCTCAAAGCCAGGAGCTTCCTGTAGGTCTCCCAGTGGAGTGCAGGGCCCCCAAGGACTTGGACCATTTTCTGCTGCCTTCCAAAGCACATTTGCAGGAAGCCAGATCCGAAGTGGAGCAGCCGGAACTCCCCACTGGCGTTACAGGTAGATTTACCCACTGCTCACTGTGCTGGCTCCTCCCACAAGCATTTTGGAAGTGCCCCGTTTTCATATGTGCTGGATTTCTTTGGGTTTTTTTTTATTTATCCCATTGGCATGCGGATATTGAATCAAAGACCCTGCAGATACTGTCCCGAGGGGGCCTGGATAGATCCCATCCTAGTGACGGGCCTCTCGGGGAAGGATGTCTCTGCATTCCGTGAGCCTTCTTGGGAATCGAGTTGAAATTGAGTTTGGAAACAGTGTTTTATCCTTGTTTCCTCAGGGCACCAACACAGACTGCTTGCCTGTGCGTGTGCGTGTGCGTGTGCGTGTGTGTGTGTGTGTGTACGCACACATGCTTCCGGTTCTGCCCTTGGCTCTTCTGTCATTCTGGAGAATTCTTTCTTAAGCGTTCTCAATAAGCACATTACCAGCTGAGTGGTCAGTAGTCTCAGTCTCTCTTCTCTCTCTCTCTCTCTCTCTCTCTGACACACACACACACACACACACACACACACACACACACTCCATCTCTCTGTCTTTAAAGTGTCACTCGGCTCAGTGTCATTTTCTGTTCAAATAACTTTCCTGCAAGAATCATAAACTTCTCCTCCGTACCTGAACAAATATCTGTTGCCTTTAATGGAACTCTTTTTTTTTTTTTTTTTGCTTGCCAGAACAGTAACCCCTCTTGATTTACCGTTCAATCTGTATGGAGAAAACCTGAATGACCTGATTCTGCTTCAATTTTCTGTCCCCGTGAGGACACTAAATGAGTCTCCTGCAGTTAGGCAGTATTATAAGGCGGTGTCATTCCGGGAAGTAGAGAATTCCTGCCTCTCCTTATCAGGCTACCTGCTGAATGCCATTGATGGCGAGATGAAATTGTCTGGAGAGGAGTGTTATTTAAGATGAAGATTCCTATTAACAGCAGCCACAACAAAGATATCATTCTCCTTGTGACAGAAGCCCCTCCTATTCCTTTGCTATACACCCTGGCCCCCCTACCCTGCAGCCCCCCGCCATGTATTGAATCCAATGCATCTGATTTGACTGTGGAAGCTGCTTTTTTTTTTTCCCCTAGGGCTCACACAGTGTTCCTTTGGCCTTCTGTTTCACAGAAGATTCCTTTGTGTCAGGGAGCTTGTCATTGTACTTACAACACGGTAGCAGTTGCTTCAGGAAGAAGTAGACTCCGACTCATGTCCACCTGCTCCAGGGTCCCAGTGGCATCATACCCCGTCTGTGCCTAGTGCCTGGTATCCACCCCTTTCTACTCCCCAGCTTCCCCCCTCCCATACACACACACGCACACACACACCTTCATGTGATTGAATCTCAATGTTGTTGATTCTGGTTGTCCTGTGATCCTATAGCCCTGGTCCCATAGCCCTTAGGGAGATTTAGGAAAGAGCCATTATTCTAATTTGGCACCTGACTCACTTTGTGAAAGGGCCTAAACCTGAATATCAAGAAATAATTTGTGCATTGAGATATTTCAAATAAGACAAATCTGCGGTATATTATGAGCTAGGGAGCGCAAGTGACCAAATTGTTTGCCATCATCTTACTGCCCTACCCACCAACTATCTTACTATCTGGATGTGTTAGCATGGTCTTAATCCTGCAAAAGGAAAGTTATTTCAGTTTATATCTCTTGCTACTTTGGGAAAAGTCCATAATGAATTTGCATCGTAACTTTCTCATTGAGAAGCGTCATCCGTCACTTTATATGGAAATTTAGGACTCTGTGAAATTAGATCAGTGAAGCTGCTGTTGGTTCATGCAGTGAAAGTTAAAACAGTGAGATACTTCCATGCATATAGTTCATGGAAGGAACTGTGGAAATAGGTTGGGAGGGTTTGAAATACCTCACCCAAGGAGTAAAATGGTGAGTTGGATATTGCTTGAACTAACACGTTTTTGATATGTCGAGCAGTTGAGTCATTTAGGGGTTGTTGTTTGCATTGGTGTGCTCAGTTAAAACATGAGCAAAATAATACTTTACAATCAATCATTCCATAAATCAGAATCGATCCTGTTTGTTGCAAATATCGAAAAAAGGAAACTACCCATATATATATTTTAATATTTTAATATATATATATTTTAATACTTGGGTTGCGTGAAGTAGCAAGGATGTTCCCACAACATTCGAATTACAGGTAGTGCCGTTTTTTCATTCCCGTGCGTTCTTTGTTGAAATCTATCTCCATGGCAGTTTGGCCCCAGGCTTTGGGGGAGGTAGTAAGAAAAGGTGGCCTAGGTGACATATGATTATTTCTGAGACTGGGATCCAGATGGACGGGCGATGCAGGAAGTTCTCGTGTGTCAGACTACTAGTATCTCAAGAACAATCAGAGGAGGTTAAGATGTTGTTGGTCCTGGACTGCCTCCTGAGGAATAACTACTCTTGTATTTTTGAGTGGTGTCTTAGATGAGAATCCCCCCCCCCCACCCCAACATCCCCTTTCTAGAAAGTCACAGCTCTGACGCACGATGTCCCACTCCCCTTGGTTGTCAGAAAAGGCCAAACTGGCATGTTCTCAAGCGAACACTGCTCAGAGAGGAAGTGGTTGTGGGGTTGGCTGGGCTCTCTTTCTGAATGTTCTGGGTTGGCCGATTTCTGTGGCCTCAGCATCTACATCTGCTCCTGCCTGCCTGCGGAGGCAGCCATTGTCATCATCGCGGCGGCAAGGAAGGGCCAATGCCTTCCCTGCATGGGGCAGAGCACAGTGAGGAAGAAAGGCTCAGGCTTGGGCTCAGCTCCATGCCCTGGCTGAGCTGGGAGTTAGGGAGCCAGACACATCTTCCTGTCTCTCATCCTCCCTCCTTGTTTAAAAGCAAGCAGGAACCCTGGGCTCACCCCCCCCCCCCAAGGTGTAGTCTGAGCCTTCCTGCCTGCTGTCCATGGAGAGACAGAGTGTCAGGTACCGGATGCCACCTGTTCATATACACGCAAGGGATGCTCTACTCTTCTTGCCATCGGACAATCTGGCCGGGCGTCAGAAATGCACCAGCAGTATGCAGACAATGTTATGGTGTGAGTTTCAATCTCAGGTTAATTGTGGATCCTCTAAGAACAAACCGTAATGCCTCTTTTCATCACCCTGTCCCTCCCATGTTCTTATTTCCGTGTAGGCTTCAGGCCCGCATAGCTCACAGGATACAAGAACTGGAAAATCTGCCTGGCTCTCTGCCACCAGATTTACGAACCAAAGCTACTGTGGAGCTGAAAGCACTCCGGCTACTCAATTTCCAGCGTCAGGTAACTCCTATTGCCCAGCGTATCTGAGAAGTCAGAAATCTAGGTGTAATTGTTCCAAACGTGTGATCTGGGTGAGCTTGCTTGGGTCTGTTCAATATTGTTAGGAAGGTAGAGACTTCAGAATATAGTCTCTCTTTGCAGACCAACAACACTGAGCTGAAAGGAATGGAGAGACCCATTCATTGCTTCTTATCCCATATTTCTCTTCCATATGTAAGAAACATCTTTGATTTGCAAAGTCGGAGCTATGGTCTTGTGTTACCATGGCTGAAAGCCCCCCAGAAACAGGTGAACATAGCTCCCACCTGCCTGTATGACTTTAAGGAGGAACGAGAAGGTGGCCTATCAGAGCTTGTTTCTGAGCACAGATGTGTAGCGTTAGTCTGTGACTCCAAACACGGGAGAACCATTCTACCGCTATCACGTGCACAACTCCTTAAAACAACAGCTTCACCAGAGCCTGACTTTGGAACATTTGGTCCCCTCAGGCTTAGGGAGTGACTCATCAGTTATTAGGGTCTGTTCCTGCTGGAGCAGTTAGTGGACACTGAGAGCAAATATAATGATCGCTTTTTTTTTAATTATTTTAAAATCAGTGGAAGGCTAGGAGAGGATGTGGTCAAGCTCATCTTCCCTTGGCAGAATTCTGTCTTGGGGACTCCAGGGGTGCTGGTCTCCCCACACCACGGATTGTTCATGCATGTAAAAGCAGCGAAGCGGCCTTTCCTGGTCAGTCAGATGGGTTGGTTTTATTAAAACCCAGGGTGTGCAAAATGAGTTACTGATGAGTACATGTAGTTGGCAAGTATTGACATGCATGACCTGGTATGTTGGAGGATATGACTAAAACCACAAAAGCCACTCCACTTTTTGTCCTGTGTACTCGAGTGTCCATTCGACCCAACAGAGGGGGTCATCGCAGATGAGAGGAGATGTGGGCTCCCATGTTACAAAAGAAAAGTTCTCCCAATCGGGTTCTTGATTCCTCTTGTGGATGACTTCATATTGTGGATGAAAAAGATGTTTGGGAAATGTCGCTAAATGAGCAGGAATCAATCGCTCAAACTAACAAGCATTCGAATTAGCTTCACTCTGCTGGCCCTCTTTTTTTTGGTCTCTGATTTTTGTTTGATATTAGTGAAAAAAAAATCTGTTACTTATGAAACTCCCTCATTACTTTGATTATAATTGATGCTGATTGATTTAGACCCGGTTGAATGATGTTTGTAATATGTCCCCGGGATCATATAACAGATCCAGATTTGTGATGATCTAGAAAGAAATCCATGATCTAAAATTTAAGTATCTTGCAAAGCATATCTGTAATGGAGGAAACCAAAAGCCAAATATCTCATCCTTTGAGAAAGAGAATTGCATCTTGTGTGAGTACTTGCAGCAACCCATACGACATGATCAGAAACGATTTCTTTGATTTGTCTTGTGGGGTGTCCTCAAAGTTAATCTTTAAGCACAAAGACACTGTTCCTTTGACATTTAAAATAAAATATGGAAATTGTAATAGCTTGGTAGCTCATTAGCATCATCAGAATAATCAAATAGGAGTTGATTTATTTAAAAGCCAGGAGACAGCTACTTGCTATCTCTCTCTACTAGCCAACAGTACTGAACAGCACCTATCTGTGTTCTCACTCCATCTTTGAAAATGGGGCATACATTTGAGTCTATCTTATTTTATTTCTTTTATTTATTCACTCCTTCCCTTGCTGAAAGGTCTGGGTAGGGAACCCAGGGTGCCCCATGAAAACAGACATGAGCGGAGCTGAGGGTGCAGGGACATCCAGCTTGCAGTAGTAGCCAAAGTCTCTAACCACTGTGCTCTTGCCAGCTGCGACAGGAGGTGGTGGCCTGCATGCGCAGGGACACGACCCTCGAGACGGCCCTCAACTCCAAAGCGTACAAGCGCAGCAAGCGGCAGACGCTGAGAGAGGCTCGCATGACCGAGAAACTAGAAAAACAGCAGAAGATCGAGCAGGAGAGGAAGCGCCGGCAGAAGCACCAGGTACGCAGGCGGGATTCCGTGTTCCTGGGGGAGCTGGAGGGCCCATCCGGGACAGCAGGGAGCCTGTGGTCCATGCAGTCCAGCCACAATAGTTCAGTTTATTTGGGAGAAGGCAAAGAGTGGGCTTGTATTGTTCATTGACTGCCCTCATGATCACCCTCCTAGCCAGGGAGCCAGGGTCAGGCCACAACCAGAGCCAGGGGCCAGCAGCTCATCCCACTTGTCCCATATGGATAGCAGGGACCTGTCTGTATGCTGCTGCCTTAGCAGGAATCTGGAACTGGGAGTACAGCTGGGAGTGGAATGCAGGCACTCTGTGGTTGGACTTGTGCATCCTAACTGGAATTTTAACAATTGGACCAAATCATGTTGTATTATAGACCACGATGCCTGGCCCAAGGCACGTGAACGGATGACCTGCCCCAGGTGGCACAGTGGAATAGCCGTAGTATGAAGTTCTTGAGACCCAATTGTATTGTTGTAATCATTTTTCACCTGGTATCATGAAATATCAGAGGTGGCGTGGCTTATCAACAGCAGAAATCCATTTCTTGGCCATTTGGGGGTTGAACTCACAGTACCAGCACAGGAATGTTCTGGTAAGGGGTTTCCCCTGCGTTGCCCACTCCCAACCAATTGCATCCACACATCGTGGGCAGACAAGAAGGTTCCTGGGGGACCTTTCGGGGGAACTCCTACCTCCCACCCTTCCGATACTGTCACATTTGGGCAGTTGTTGCAAATGGTTGATGTGGGACTTGATTTTGTGTCATTGTCCTATACGTTGTGTTGAGTATACTTACTTTACTGCCTAATTAAGCTTAGTTTTGAAAAAAAAAAAGTTAGACTTGAGTATAAAATCAGGATGCATGCTCTGCATATTTTGCTTAATAAGTGAATGCAAATGAAGTGTGGCACGTTGAGTTTGGAAAGCTTGTTTTGCAACATGCTTCTAAGGGGTTTAGAGCAGAAGAACGATGCTTTTTTTTTTTTTTTAAAGGATTTATTTCTTTGGAAAGGCCGAGCTACAAGGAGAGACACAGGAGTGGCGGGAGAGTCCATGTGCTGGTTCACTTCCCATGAAGCCGCAGTGACTAGCCCTGAGCTACCCCAATAGCCAGGAGCTCCTACTAGGTCTCCCACATGGGTTTAGGGGTGTATGCACTTGAGCCATCCTCCATTGCTTTTCCAGTTTGTAAGCAGAGAGCTAAATAGTAAGTGGAGCAGCCAGGCTGATGGTGGGAAACAGGAAACAAACCCTAGGTCTTCCACATGGATGGCCATCCCTTGACTCCCTGCCCCCACCCCCCACCACTAGGGTTTTTGCATTAGCAGGAAGCACATATCAGGAGCTCGAGCTGGGAGGTGAACCCAGGAATTCTGATGGGATACAAACTCATCTTCACTACCGGACCCAAAGCCGCCTCCCATCGGATTCATTTTAGAAGCAATAAGGGCTTAGCTCTACGTTGTATCATTGTGCTTTCTGCAGGTTTCTCTCGGTCTTAGATCTTTCCCCACCCTCGGGGACGGAGGAGACCTTTTCTCCACAGGCTTGCAGTCAAACCAGCATGAAGGGGTGGTCATTCCTGCCAGCTGTGTAGCCCACCCCTGGGCCGCTGTAACATACCAGGGGTCCTATCCCAAGGGAGAGCCTGGCATCTAACAGTTCAATGCACACGAGGGGTCTTCTTTAATGCACCTTACCAGGTAGATGCTAAGTGTCCTTTCCTGCCCATCTCTGGGTCCTGCAGGAATACCTGAACAGCATTTTGCAACATGCGAAAGACTTTAAGGAATACCACCGCTCCGTGGCTGGCAAGATCCAGAAGCTGTCCAAAGCCGTGGCGACGTGGCACGCCAACACGGAAAGGGAACAGAAGAAGGAGACAGAGCGTATCGAGAAGGAGAGAATGCGGAGACTGATGGTAAGGGGGCCCCACAGCTGTGGGAACTGGGGGTTTGGGGGTGCTGGATGTGGCAGGAGTCTGGGGAGTTGGTTCCTTTGTACTTCCTGGGGCTGCGGGAGCAGCAGTCTCCGTTTCTTCAACAGTGCATGTGATAAACCCGAGAGGACACTGGATGAGCAAATAGATTTCCATGCCCAAGGCTGGCCAGAATACAGGCTACAGCTCCTCACAGACAGACACGTACTCAGCTTTACAGGAGCTTGAGAACCACACCTGGAACCACGGCCCTGATTCAAAGAGCCGTGACCTTGAAGTGAATGGTCAATATGTTCTCAGATGTGTGTCTCAAAGCTGTGTCTTTGGATCTAACAGAGTCTCTTGTTTGACATCTCTCAGTGGCCAATGGTATTTCTCTCTCTCTCTCTCTCTCTCTCTCTCTCTCTCTCTCTCTCAATGGTGAAATTATTCTGCAACCATGGGAAGAAGTGTTTTTTTTTTTAATAAACTGAATTCTGAAATGGCGCTTTGTTTGTGATAGCTGTGCTGTTGTCAAAGGCTGTTGCATCTGCATGGTTCGTTTTGAGGAATATGGATATGTGAATGAGATGGGTTTCTATCCCTGGCCTTGAGTGCTTGCTTTTATTGGCCATTTATTTTTGGAATCTGCCCTCAGAGCACACGAGGGGTTGTAGAAGAGTGTGTGTTGTCTGTAATGATAGGAGACCCACAGCTTCTGACGTGGACGTAGCACTTGAGTATGCAGAGATGTAGTGGTTAGCTTGCATGCCTGGAACTTGCTGTGTGACAACACTGTCCTTGCTGGCTTTCCAGTTTGCTCCATCTTTCTGCCTACTTCTCTGTTTTCAGGAAGGGAGGAAGACTGTGCAAGAACTTTCTAACTAGCCAGGGAGACCAGTTTCATTTCAGCAGTCAGCAGTCAAACTGGTCTGATTCAACTGAAGGGGCATCTGTATTAGAACTTCAGCAACAGATTGGCTTGACACTAATGATTAGGCATTTGCAAATCATTAATTTTGGCAATTAAATGATGGAATATACAGATAATAGAGAAATTGAAGGGTGTTTTTTTTTTATTACTCTTTCTTCAAGTGAGATCAACCATAGCCGAAACCAATTAGAGTTATAATAGCATTGGAGGTTGACATTCATCCATGGAGCAGACTGAAGCTAGACTGAATGATGAGGTTGCCCTCACTTGGGCACAGGAAGGCCTAAGCTTTCCCGTGTGGGAGTTGCCCCTTCAAGATCTTGTACTGTCTTCCTTTCAACAAGGAAGATTAAAATAAAAAGCATCCAGATAGTCTTTTTTTTTTCCCCCTGAGATGCATGAAAAAAAAAGAATTCTTTCTTGAAAATGGCCCAGAACACTTGTGAGCTTTATTCTATTTAACCTCATCATGCTGCTTCCCAGGCAGGAAAAGGAAGTGGGAATTCTCGCACCTGTTTTATCCTTCAGCATCCCTTGACCTCAGGAGCTGCATGACGTGTCCTCCGTCACCTAGGCCTGTTCTTGGATCCGGAACAGAAATCTCCCAGATGGAACCTTTCCTATCAGCCACAATGTTGATAAAGACCAAGGAAGGAAGGAAAAAAAAAAAAAGTTCCCAGATCCAGGAAGGCATCTTGTGTCCTCATCTTTAAAAGTATTTGTAGAAATGCTTATGGGGAACGGGATGCCGTATCTGGAATCTGCTTGAAAAAGAGTCCACTCTGGGGAGAATGTCAGAGAAGGACGGTGACGAAACGGGCATCACATTAATTTTTGGTTGCTTGGTGTTGGTTCTGTGGGAGATTATATCGCACTCTTTGCTTTTGAGTGTTGTTGAAAACTTCCAAAATAGAAAGTTAAAAATAAGCTTGAGATGGTGGATCTTCAAGTGTTAACTATTTTTTTGGAGGGGGTGGGGTGGGTTTGCTGGTAGAAGGGGAGAGGGGGTGCAGTTGCAAAAACACAGAACAAAGAGCTGACGCAGCAGGCCTTCGTGGACAGTGTGGCTTCGTGCCCTCCCGACTTGGCTGGAAACCCTAGACTCCTAGGATGTAAGCGGGCACTCTGTGGGTATCCCTGATTTTATCCAGCATGCTAGAGCATCATCCAAATTGAGACTGTGGGAGGAAGGGGGCCTTGCCTGTAAGCTTCTATGGTCCTCTCACCATGCTCTTCCTCCTTTCCCAGGCTGAAGATGAAGAAGGGTACAGAAAGCTGATTGACCAAAAGAAGGACAGACGCTTGGCTTACCTCCTACAGCAGACCGACGAGTACGTGGCCAATCTGACCAACCTGGTGTGGGAGCACAAGCAAGCTCAAGCAGCCAAAGAAAAGAAGAAGAGGAGGAGGAGGAAGAAGGTGTGTCACCCAGCGGAGGGTAGTGGCTGGGGCCTGGGCACTGGGGCAAGGACTGCTTAAAGGCGAGTGCACCGTTTCCAATGATTTCTCTGTAGCAGGCACGCAAATGAGTATTAGCTTGTACTGGAGGCCAAGGGTGTCAGGGGTTCACTATCCTAAACCGCAGCTCTGCAGGCCCTATTTCCATCTGTAATACTGTTAAGTGCCCTGGTGGACGAGGACGGCTAAGTTGAAGAAATTGGGATATGAAAGGAAGAAGCAAAATATGGTATTGAGACTAAGGGAAGCCAGAGGGAAATGGTGGCCAAGACAGCTCTGGGATACTTCTGGCACCCGTGTCAGCCCATGTGGACAGATGGCTAGGCCAGCACTATTCATTTCATCCTGCTGCCCTCCCCCGCAGAGCAGTGAGGTCAGCATGCAGAGAGGAGATGCAGGGAATTGCAGGACAAAAGCAATCCTGTAGAAAACAGACCCAAATTACCACACACACACACACACACACAAAAAAAAAACAAAACAGAAAGATCTGGAATCTCCACTCTGCAGATGCATTCAGACTCCATTCAAGAGGAAGGCGCCAAGTGCTGGGCTGGGACATGGGTCCTCTGCGAAGCTAAAGTAAGCTGGTGATGTCTTTTTGTCTTGGTGAACAAAGTCTTGACAAGGTCAGGCACAAGCATCAACAGCAAGGTGTTGGAATTGTGCAAATCGAGGGCGGCTAGCATTGCAGCATTTGTTCGTTGCCCTGAATAATTGAACAAAGTGTTTTTTTTTTAAAAAAATAATTAATTTCATGGCTTCTGAATCCCTGTACTTATTTCATAATTAACGAGGAGGAATAAATGATTGAGAAGGCACCTCCGTGCACCGGAATTCTTTAGCATAAGATGGCTTACTTTTTTGTGAAGATAAATGCAAGATAACTCAGGGCGTGCATTCTTTCGACATCTCGCCGGTGAGGAATACCTCATTTTCTTGTCATGGTGGCATTATAGACTTGGGGGGAAAAAAAGAATCCCAGCTCCCAATTTCTGACTTAAAAGGATGTTTGTGGAGTGAGTGAAGAGCGCCCAGGCAAATGGATAAAAATTATCCAAGAGTACATATGTAGACCTCAATAATCAGCAGGGCTGGGTTTTGCTAACCCGGGGCGGGGGGGATATTTTTGCAGAGGTTTTTCAGGGTTAGCGTTTTAGTGTTAAAAATCCAGCATTCAAGTTATTCTAGCTTTTCGCGGTGACAAGCTCATGACCCGGATTTGAGCTTCTGGTTCATTCTTAACAGTTGCCTGCCAGAGTACCGGCTGGGGGGGTGCGGGGGGGGGGCGGGCACCATCATATACAAAGGAAGATGCAGTTAGGCCCTGTGCAAGGTCAACACCAGACTCCAAATGCAGCCGGGGTCACTGTGATGGTGAAAAATCCCCATCACTTTATGACGTCCTAGACATCAGTGAGATGCTTGGATCCCTGGCCAAACTCACGCACAAAGAGTCCCCCTAATGGTATCAGTTGCTTGATGAGTGTCCTAAACAGTCGTGTTGCAGGTGTGTTTACTGTGTGTTGTGCGTTTTGTGTGTGTGTGTGTGTGTGTGTGCGTGCCTCTGACTCATATGAAATAGTTTGTTATAAAACCATACCCTCCATCTCTCATCACCTGAGTGCTCCCCACAAGGTTCAGGTCAGCCTGAAGTCACCTAAGGCCACAGTTCCTAGAGTACATCCCCAGGATGCAGTGGCACACACCCGCGTGGAACTGCGTGTTGGCAGTGACACCCGTATTCCTGTGTTTCGGGTTATAGAACCCAGACTTGTGGGTGTTGTCCTTGGCGCCACCACCGCCTGCCCAACCATCTTTAGGTTTGCTTGCCGCTTTGTACCCTGTTGCCTTTAGGTTGGGTCATCACATGGATGACTTGGATGATGTATTGGTATCCTTCTACGGATATTAACTAAGCATGGACTAAACAAAGGGTGTGCAGTTGTTGCCCTGTGGAAAGTAACTGGACACTGACTAAGAAAGCCAGGTAGCATGCTCCCCTGCTGTGAGAGAGCGGCTCCAAGGCTGTGACTCAGAGAGAGAGAGCGAGAGAGAGAGAGAGAGAGAGAGAGAGAATATGAATGAATGAGAATGAATAGAGACAGGCAGACATTAACCCCCCCAAGTGCCCAAAGATGCGATTATAAGCCATGAGAACTGTAGTGAAGGAAAACTAAGAGTTGGCTTGGGGCTTTTGCCTGCTTTCCTGGCAAGCAGGTCACAGAACAGTGACAGGTGCCTGATGGATGTTTCGGGTGGTCACCACGCAGAACGTCCTTTCTGATCAGCCGTCTCCCTCTTCTGCGTTCTCCTAGCAGCCCTTAGCCTTTGCACCTGCCTGCCCTCAGCAGACCCAAGGAGGACCAACTGTGTTTTTCCCCCTGGGTCATCTAGTTGGGAGAATAAGGATGAAGAAGGAAAAAAATAAATAAATAAAACATCTCACACCAACAGAGAAATCTAGGTCCTTCTGGGGCCCTTTCTGTAAGCTATCCTGCAGCGGCTTCAAGATGTGGTTCAAAGCGAATCATCCTTTTCCAGCCGTACCTTTGTTCAAGAGCCGAGGCAAGGGCAGCTTTGCAAAGCAGGTGCTTTATGAAAAGGCACTTTGGGTTTTGTGTAGTGTGTGTCCCCTCCGTTAGAGCAAATGAATGACGGAGAACTGGCTGTTCTAGCATCTCTGTGGTGTAGGAAAACTTACTTCATCCAGCAGGGTATAAATTCTGGGCCATCCCTTTCAACATTTTGCTGCTACAGTGAATACCACATTTTAGAACATTAAACCAAGGAATCAGTAAATGTTATTTTGAGCAAACCCGTGAACTAACATCATTACTTGGACAATTAAGTGCAAGTAACTTGAAGAACTAAGCTTAAAAAAAAAATGGTTTGTCTTAAGAGGGAATGACACAGACAAGACATATAGAAAGCTTCCTTCTGCTGGTTCACTTCCCAGATGGTTGCTGCAGCTTGAGGCTGGGCCAGGGTGCAGAGATTCCATCAGGGTCTCCCATACAGATGGTGGAAATGTAAGAACTTGGGCCATCCTCCATTGCCTATCTGGATACATCATCAGGGAGCTATATTGGAAGCAGGAATGGAGAGGATTAGATCTGTAGCTGTGATAACGGGATGCCTGGGTTGTAAGCAGTAGTCTAGTCCACTGTCCCACAGTGAGTGGGGGAACTGGACTACTACAGTTGAGTATAGTTAGGTGGCACTGTGGGTTAAGCTGCTACCATGCGCAGGGTGCCGGTATCCCCTGTGGGCGCCAGTTCGAATCCCAGCTAGTCTGCTTCCTATGCAGCTCCTTTCTGATGTGCTAGCACTGGGTGTGTGGCAGGGAGGTGCAAGGAATTAGTGGGAGATGCCCCCCAAATCCTTGGGCCTCAGCGATGACATGAGAGAATCATCGTGGCCATATGGGAACTGAACCAGTTGATGGAAGACATCTTCCTGTCTCTGCTTCTCCCCCCTTTTTTTTTTTTTTTACAGTCACTGCTTTTCAAATAAATAAATCTTAAAAAAAAAAGATGAATGTAGTTGACTTCTTAATTTATCTGGGAAACTGTTATTTGTTTGTTTCTTTTACCGATTATGTAATTAGAGTTTGTTGTTGTTGCTGTTGGGCTAGTTGCCTTTTTAGTATTGTCCTAGGAGAGATGACTTTTGTTGCTAGAGAACAATACATAGGATGGGTTTCTCTGAGGCTTTTGTATCATCATTATTATTACTATTATTTTGGTGAAATTTGACTTTTCTCCTGTCACCACTAGGGGCCTTTCTCTGAGAATACATTGATAAATTACTTGGAAGCTCTTCATTCTTGGCCTAGTCTTTCACCAACGCCCTTGAAATGGCAGAAAAAAAAAAAAGAAGTAAACGAAATGTTCTCTGCTTAGGTGACAGACGAGGTAGAATTTTCAACACTTGGAGGTGCTGAGTTCTGTAGCCACGGCGCTGCAGGACGAATGTGCCATTCCGTGCAGTTAGAGCGACCTTGAGCTCTCTATTCCCTGCAGTGGCCGGTCTCCCATATCTCCAGAGTGAATGTAGACTTAGAGAGAGAGAGAGAGAGAGAGAGAGAAAGGAAGCTACAGGAAGCCTCCAGGGTCTGTATGAACAGCATCGATTCTGGTAAGGTCACAAAATGGACCCCTCTCCCTGTCATATTACCGTACAGTCTATTCATTCATAGTTATTTAAGAAAACATGCGTTTGTTTGTTATCATTCCCCTGGTAGGATAGGAGGGATATTTTAGGAGTTTGGGGGAAATTGTGTGATTATGAAAGAACTATGCATAGATTTCCAAATATTTTCTTTTTTCTTTATTTTTTTTTTTTTGCGCCGAAATGCACTTGTTAAGGAAAATGTCTTTCTCGTTTTTATTACTAGGTAGGGAGTGAGTCACCGAGAGAAGAGATACGGAAAAGGATCTCTTGTCTACGCTTTCATTCCCCTCAAAGGCCTTAAACAGCCAGGCCTGCTGGACCAGGCTCATGCCAGGAGATTAGAACCCGATCCAGATCAGCCACACAGGCAGCAGGGACCCAAGCACGAGAGCCGGTACCTTTTGTCTCGAGGAGCACCCCCTTAGCAGGAAGCTGGAACTGGAGGCATAGCTGGGAAGGCCTTCAGCTGGAGCCCCAGGGCATACCCACGTGATGTGTACAGCAGCATCAGCGGGGGATACATGCCGAAGCAGTGGTGACAGCGATGGGCTCTACCCAACGGATTTCTTGTGAGAATTCCGTGGGAAAATCTATCCAAAGCATTTGGAGCATTCCATAGCATGTAGTAAGTGCTCAGTAAACACGTGCGTGCACACACACACACACACGGCAGTCCCAGGACATAAAATTAGAACTGTCATGGTGGCAATGCGGTTGTGTCTTTTGAAAATGTAATTTTTCTCTTAAAAAATAAAACTTTTCCTGTAGCTTATGATATTAAGAAA